AGTCCCAGCCCTAAGACGGCCCCCTTATGGCCCATGGCCCCCAGCCCAGGGCTCCATCGCCCCAGCTGCCAGCGTACGGAGCAGCAGGCCAGGCCCATCCAGGCCAGCAAACACGAACACACCCGCTGGACACCCCACCGGGCATCCACTGAAGAACCACCACTAAACCACCACTAAACCCTCACTAAACATCACTAAGCACCCACTAAATGCTACGTGCAACGCCCGTCCCCATAGGCGCATAGTGACCACAGCATCCCTACCTTACCTTACCTTACCTTACCTTACCTTACCTTGCTGGTACTATCCAGAGTGGTCTTGTACCCAGCCAAGCCACGGACTCCAGTCGCAGCGCAGTTTACAGCGCTCGGTGCGTGGGTGAGTGAGTGTGAGCGAGTGCTGCTTCCTGCTCCTACAGTGTTCCTGCTCTGCGACCGGTGGTGGTTGTGCGACAACAATCCTTTCTTTGGGCTTGGGCTTGGACTTGGACGCTTATCCCCCAACTCCTACTTCCTCCCCCAGAGAACGCCCTTCCGCTCGACTCTGTTCTGATCTACTCTACTCCCATCTGGTGTCTAGAGTACGAGTCTGCAGATCTACTGAACAAATTCACGACCCTTATCGGTGTCTACTACCTACGTACTACTACGATCGCGACTCGATCTGCAATCCAGCACCAGCACCAACTTCCCCGTCCGCTCTCCGACCCCGAACCCGCTCTGCGATTCCTCTCCACAAGCTGTGCAACAACAAACCAGAACCATATTCCCCCCTCTCGACGCCCCGGCCCAGATCGAGAAAAGCCTCCGCAAGAGCTGCGTTCCTGGAGTTGTCGCCCTTGCCTCCTCCCTCCTCGAATTTCTGCAACGCCCTGCCCGATGCGGTAGACCGGACTCGATCAGCGCAAGACCGGACGAGACAATACAAGACAAACCCCTTCAACCCCGAACCCAAGCCCAGGCAAGACCAGCACAAAGGGCCCTCCCAAGCCCCAATTCTCTGGCAATCCAATTCCCGCCCCAGGCTCAGCGCCCACCGGTCACCTTCGGCCTGCATCCCTCTCCTCCAGAACGGGTGCCTGCCTTCTCCAGCGAGCACGCCTACTCGACGTTGCATATGACAAACGAAGGGATTTGGTGTCGCGCGACCTTTTCGCCCTGCCTCCGGCCGCCAGCCCTTCAACTATATCCCTCTCGCCCTCCCGCCGCATCTCCCTCTCCCTCGATGCCCGACTCCTCATGAATGCATTCTTTCCGCCAGATCTTCTTGTAAATGAGCTTACAGCATAGTCGTCCATTACATACTCCAGCTACTTGTCCTGGTGAGATCTCTTCAGCTCCGCTCCGCTCCCCTTCACCCCCCCCCCCGGCATTGATCATCAGCCTTACCGCATGGATACCTATGCTGACATCTTTTTTGCGAACCACCAGTCACATAGACCTACACCTGTCAAATACACACTAGAAACACAGTCCTTTTGGTTAGCATAATACCGTCAGCACCATCCGGCCCCGTCCAATATACCTTCGGAGCCTTCCTTTTTATCTTTGGATTCTCCACATTCCCAACGACTACATAGAGGCATCTCATGTCTTCTGCTGCTACTAGCAGACCTTCAGGCGCCATGACGAACGCCGTAAGTGCTGATGCCCCCCCCCCCCCCCCGCCGAATCACTTATTACATACATCCTGCTGACTGAATTCTCAACAGGCGCGATCCGCTCGGTTCGGTGGAGATTTTGGCAGCGCAACTGCCAGAAAAAATAGCGACGAAAGAACCTCAACCTCGGGGACTCTTGCACAAGGCTTTGGCAGCAACGAGTCCTGGCAGGCTTCGAGTGGTATCTGGGGTAACGGTACGATTGGCAGTGGGATTCCAAACTCCAAGAGAGATGCTACCCGTTCCCAAGGTGGGTCCGCGAAACACCACCAGGCTTTGGGCATTACTGATGTCCGAGCAGGAGATGACGAGGATGAATTCCCCCTCCCAAATGGATCAAGCGCTTTACGATCTTCCTCCCAGGCAAACCCATGGGGTGCCCCGGCCAATGGACCCTGGAACCCTCCAGACACGACGTCTCCTACCCTCCAGTCCTCTCATAGCGGAAGCACCTCCCCAGCTCATCATCGCAGTACCATTCCTACCGCGAACCAGCCAACATTGGCAGAGATACAAAATCCATACCAGCAGTCGCGGGTTACCCAGGCTGCAGCCTTCTCCAGGGGGTCGCAAAAGAGCAGCCTGAACCCCTCTTCCGGTCCTTTCACGTTCGGACGGAAACCATCATTCATTTACACCGACGACAAGGAGAACTCGGGCCAGTACGGAGATAGTTCTTATGATTATGATCACTCCGTGAGGGCCTTGAAGGGAGAGTTTGCGCCGCCAAATTTCCTAGCCACGAATGGCAGCATGTCCAGAGATAGTAGCATGCCTCCATCAAAGGTATCAGAGCCGGGACTCAATGGAGCCGGCGTCCCTTATGGCAGCAGTGGTTGGGGCTCTATTGGCCATACGCCGACAAGCTCCATACACTCACAACGCCCGTCCTTTTCTGGGCCCTCCGTTTCGTTTCCCCCACCAACCAACCAGACTAGGTTTGTTGACTCGGCAGCCCACAGTGATAGCGGGTTGAGCGACAAAATGGCCGCGTTCGGGTTGAGCGAGAACAATTCGACCACTGCCTCACTTCCTGGTGGTCTGGCGGCTTCATATTCGCCGAATCCTCCGAATTTTACCGCGCAGGTCTTCCCCCACAGTGGCACGTCGCCCTTGTGGGAAGGTCTAAATGGACCAAAGGGACATGGCAACCATGAGCGCTACGGGTCGCAGCCGTTCTTGGATCAAGGATATTTCAAGCCCCATGCCGGAGAACGAGATTCTATTTCGCCAGCAGGCAGTGACTACCGCCGTGGGTTTAACAGCCCTAAATTTTATCATCATGCAGGCACTCCACCATCGGGGACCGACCAAATATACCGGCCGTCATCAAGGGGTCCACGGATTCCGCAAGGCCCTACCGAAATGGATAGGAGACTCCAGACCATGTTTGCACAGCAACAAGCTGCTTATTTGTACGGTGCCCCCTTTCAAGGCCAATTCCGTCCTCAGGCCTACGAGTATGCCCCCTCCAACTTCAGGCAACCAAATATTCCATACGGGTATGCAGTTCCCATGCCTCCTTACGCACCAGCGCAGATGATCCCGACTAGGCCTAAGGATCAAGATGTCGGCCTAGGAGTTCGAAGTCCGCTTCTGGAGGAATTCAGGTCGAATTCTAAATCCAATAAGCGATACGATTTAAAGGTTAGTTCAGAGATCGTAAAATTCTGCGTACCGGCTGACCCCTTGGTAGGATATCTACAATCACGTTGTTGAATTTAGTGGCGATCAACATGGATCGCGGTTCATTCAGCAGAAGCTGGAAACTGCCAACAGCGATGAGAAGGAGCAGCTTTTCCGCGAAATCCAGCCAAACGCTCTCCAACTGATGACCGATGTGTTTGGCAATTATGTCATTCAAAAGCTGTTTGAGCACGGCAATCAGATCCAGAAGCGGGTGCTTGCTGAGCAGATGAAGAACCACGTCATGGAACTGTCAATGCAGATGTACGGATGCCGAGTTGTGCAGAAGGTTAGTCATATTTGTTCGATGTTCTGAAGTATCACGGCTAAATGTATATAGGCTCTCGAGCACGTCCTTGCTGACCAGCAAGCTGAACTCGTGGATGAGCTTCGAATCGATGTCCTCAAGTGCGTCAAGGATCAAAATGGCAACCACGTCGTGCAGAAAGCTATCGAGCGGGTACCGAAGGAGCATATCCAATTTATCATTGACGCCTTCAAGGGTCAAGTCCACATTCTCGCGACCCACTCTTATGGCTGCCGCGTCATTCAACGGATATTGGAATACTGCAAACCTCAAGATCAAGCTGCGATTCTCGAAGAGCTACACCAATGTGCACCTGGCCTCATCAGTGATCAGTTCGGCAACTACGTCATCCAGCATGTCATTCAACATGGAAAGCCAGAAGACCGGATAAAGATCATCAAGATCATTACCGCTCAGCTATTGATGCTGTCGAAGCATAAATTTGCGTCCAACGTGGTCGAGAAATGCATCCAATTTGGCACAGATGAGCAGAGGAAAACCATCGTGGCACAAATGACTGCGCTAAATAGCGACGGTTCAAGCCCTTTGCAGCTCATGATGAAAGATCAATATGGCAACTATGTGATTCGTAAGTTCTTAACAGGAGCAATATTAAAGCAATGCTAACGTCTTTCATAGAAAAGCTCCTCCTTCAACTGAAAGGTGCCGAGCGTGATGCGGTTGTTGAGCAAATGAAGCCACAGCTTGCCCAACTCAAGAAGTTTAATTATGGGAAGCAAATCACGGCCATCGAAAAATTGATATTCACTGGCCCCCCACCGTACCCTACGCCATCATCCACATCTCACACTATGCCCATTGAGATCAATTCGAGCGCTCCCACGCCGATGTTGACAAACGGGCAGAATAGCCCTCAAAGCTGCAGTCTCCCAAGCGCGAGCGCTAGCACTATTGACGACCCGACCGATAGCACATCCTCTGGCAAAACCGCCATAGGGATGGACGAGAATACCTGCCCGGAAGTAGTCATCAACGGCGCATAAACTCTGCCCCTCGGGGTTCCTCGATTTTTGTTTCGCAATAAAATAATTGATAATCTCACTAAAAATATCATGAATAAGCGCGGTCAAACGGACATGGACGGGAATAGGAAAAGTGATTTTTATTTTAATGATTTTCCACCGTCTGCGCAAAGCCCGGAACATCTTTATATCTTTTTATGGGTGGGGGGGCAATACCCTTGGTGTTTTCGTGTGTCTTCTGCCCAGTTTTTCAAGCAAGAAAAACGGGTTGTATGGATGAAAAAATATGGAATATGGCATTTTACAAAACGATCAACGAAGTATTTACTATGGTTATGATCTAAACAAGGCGGGGATCCGGCATCTATTATATGGGGGGAAATGGCAATTGGCAACAGGAAATATAGGGAAAATATTTTGCGTGCGCTTGTTTTGTTGCTGATGTATTTGCTGTGTATGCGCGTTGCTTGCCCTAACTTAACGCGGCGTGGGATTTTCGGCCGATAATACACATGTTTATTTTTTGCTTTTTTCTCTCCTTCTATTGTGGAAATTGGAGTATTGATCCGGACAAAGACGGGGGCCATGGGGCCGGCGGATGGGAAAAAAGTGGATTTTTGAGAATGGGGAGGTTGGTTTGGTGGGATATCATATATTTATATGTTCTGGGGTTGTGAGGCGGTGAATAGATGGGGAAGGGGGGAAAGATGGGGGAAGGGAATATGCGTATAGTATTGGTATGGGATATATCTAAGTGCATGGCCTGCAGGCATGGCTTTTGAGCAAGAGGAAATAAAGGGAGACGGAGGGAAAGAAAGAAGGAAACAGATATGCATTTTTTGGGAGAGATTAAGAGAGAGATAACTGTAGTGAAATCCCGATGGATGCGTCTGTGTGCGAATATATATATGTATATGTGTGTGCGGAATATTATTAGTTTATTGGCATCTTGATTAAACGTGGCTACAATTTGTGAGGTTTCGTAATGCGTTTTTGTATGTGTCTCGTTAAAGGGGAATAATGTAGCAAGATACGAATGCAATTGGTTCGTACACTAAAAGCTCGCTTCCCCTGAGTGGAATAGGGGGAGCTGGTGGTTAGTAGCATGGAGGTGAACCTGGGGTGTAGGGATAGGTGGGATGATTGATTGGGGTTAATATGAGGGAGTTCTTGGCTTTGAGGACATATAATAGGGAACTACTATAACAGCTAATTATTCGAAGAAGAATTTTTTTTTTGGACATTTAAAGAGGTATGATTCAAAATCGATGGTTCTATACTATAGAGCCGGGCCCGCCTTCTATAGCACTCCTCTTCGCTTCTACGACCCCTTTTCAGAACGCTTCTTGCCCTCTCTCCTCACCACCGCAGGTACAGAGCCAAAGACTGATGGCCAAGACAATTCCACATCATCCTGCTCGCCATTAAAACAATACCTCAGCCAAATAGCCCAGGTCAGGTTAAAATACGCCGCAATTCCCGACACGACATGCCTATCACAAGATTTAGCCAGGAAGTTAAATGACGATAGAGGCAACTCACCACCATCCATGGCCCTCCAGCAACATCCCCCACGGTAAGCCTATCTCCGCCCGCCACCTTCGAAACGTCGAGCAGTATTCGTTATCCATAGTCCAAATCAGAAATCCGCTTGTTACACAAGTCAATCCACAAGCAATCATCTTCCACATCGTGCGCAGAATCGCCGTATCCCGAGCATCTCTCCTCGCCTCCTCTTCTAAAACACTGGCTGGTGCAACGTTGCCATCTGGACGTCTTTTTGGCTGCAATGCTGGCCGAAGCGTGGTTTCCATGGCGTATATACTCTTAGCAACGACGAATGCTGTCAGCGCCGCGAAGGTGTTTTGGAGAAAGGCCGGGTCTTGCAAATAGTGGTAGTACACCGTGATGAAGATCGCCAGGGCGGCAGTGAAGAGCAGGAGCAGGATGGAGCCAAGTCCCGATTTGCCCTGCGAGAATATGGCGTACATCATTATGCAGGTGTTGTATATCAGGGACAGTTCATCGACTAATTGCATGGGGTCTGTCGAATCATTAGTTTTCCATTACTCCCCTCAAATGGAAATAAGGAACTGTGGCTCCCCCCCCCGGACATTTAAGCGTGGAGTGGAAACAGAAACTCCCGAGGCCGATTATGAGATAGCTGATGAAGCCCATGAGGAATACGGTGTCGTGTTTATTGCGGATGCAGTTGGAGATTCCTTTGTATGCGAGAAATATAAAGGTTAGGTTTGTGAAGGAGTTGACTATTTCGGCGGAGTATATCGTGGCATAGTAATCCTATAGTTTGTTAGAGTGGAGAACTTGATAGGGCTGGGATACAGATAACTTGCCTCCTCGCACCAATTCAGCGTTGAGGTAACTGGGTTCCAAAACCCCTCGCCCGTAGGCGGATAGGGGATCGAAGGCAGGAGAGACATGAAAGACATTATTGGGGATACCCACGACGGTAACTTAAATGTGAGGAGGTAGAAACATCGTGGAAAGATTTTTATTTAGTTATCCATGCCGTTGGGAGATTCGGCAGCCCGCTGTCCTCGGGCTACATAAGCGGTCTCGGGGAAAATGTGGCTTGCAGCAAGTATTTATTGATTGGTTTTCGTGGCGCAAAATAAATTCTCGGGCTGGGACAGGAACTTGCCGGTTTCTTGCCTGTTTGTACAGTACATGTTATATTTCGCCTCGTGTGTGAAACGCCGCCGCCAAAGAAGCCCATGTTTGTTGACCTGTGGCTCAGCCGTGATTTCATGCAGCGGCCAATATGGGTAGGATGGATTGCCAGAGAGTGGCTGCACAGCGAAGTGTGGCATTTTTGCTGGCCTCTCACATCAGTCCAACATGCAGTGGTTTGCTTTTTCTGTGGGATAACTGGCTGGGAGTTCCGTTATTATTGGGCCTTGAAGTAGTCTTTGAAAAGCTGGTGGTTTCGAGCCCTGAGTCTGTGGGCTGCAAAATAAGCCGGTTCTACAGAATGTATGTGCTGTGTTCAGCCCTATGTGGTTTGAAGTTATTAATACACACCCCAATCCTTACCATGGGTGCTTCTCCTCCGTTACACCAGTATCCTTAAGCGGCTCTTTATTGACTTCTTCGATACTTGTCCCTGGGGCCAAGACTGGATCTTGCTTCAAGTCCAAGTCTAAAGCCCATACCTATTGCGTTTTATACTCGTCGTTATATGCACTCCAGCTGTGGGTAGCTTCGAACACCAGCAAATTCGGACAACCATAGCTTCCACGATCTCCCGTGACCAGGTGCCCTAGTAGATACTGCGTTAAGATATGCCGCATTCAGGAAGTGAACTGCAAGGCCTGGAGCATCGGGGTTCTCTAAGGGGCGGATTGGAAAAACTGTTTGGGTGCATACTCCTCGCCCTCTTCGTTGAAGTATATGTATTCCATGAAATGGGTTGAGCCTTTTCTAGGAGCATAACAGGCCGTGGAAATAGATGACACATGTTATTCGAGGTAAGTCTTGATGTAATCCAACTTGCCTTTGTCACGTTTTGTGTGTATGTTGTTGTACGGGGTTATTCCAGTATGAAGGTGTTGATAATTGGGACCCAAATTGGTACATGTAATACAGCCCAGATGATTGGTCAGAATAGGTCATGGAATAAGGTAATTGTATTGATTAAGGAGCCTAATACTATGGGGTGAAGTACTCCTATATATGGGCAAAGGAATGGAATAGGTCACATGTGCTAGCTGAATGGAATGTGCCGTTATCCGTGATTTCCAAGCCTTGCCTGACTGAACTAAACATCAGATACTAGTACTAATTACTAGCAAAACAGGTGCTCAGACTGATTAAACTGGCGGATCATGCATTTCAGTCTTTGCATTAGATCACGGGTTTTCAGGGGCTTGGCAGGAGGCCTGAGCCTCTATATCAGGGAACTCCCATATTCCAACAGGAGGAGATGAGCTGTTCCGATGATGGCGAAGGGCAAACATATACTTATGCAATACCGATTGGGATCAATCTACTCCGTATCGAGTTGTCTGTTCCTCCATAGTTAGTTGTGTCTTAACCACATGGAAAGTCTGGAGCACGATACACGAACTGCCACTTGGTGGCTGGGGGAGGTGGTGCATTTGACGAGACACAGCAGGGAAAACAAGGCGAATCTTGAAGCACACCGAATACAATGTCCAGAATGCGGTTCAGTCCCCCTACTATTATCTTGGCCCTTCATTATTGTGGGCTATGAATGAGGAAACCTAGGTACTCGAATATCAAGCAAGAACGTACCTCTAAGCTAACACCGTAGACTCCAATGCTCCTGAAGTTAACTTAAGCTCGTTATAAGCTCCTACACTTTACCATTCCTATTCTGCCAGGCGGTATTGATTTCGTTGCATTTCGACCGCTCACCACTTCTGGTTCTGCCAGACAGTTCTGCCCCTCTAAATCACTGATTCTAGTAGGCGGCGACATATTCGTTGCGTTACGATCGTCTACCGCCTTTGATTCTACCACTATTTGTTTATTATTTCGATGCGTTACGACCGCTCACCACTTTTGGTTTCTGCCAGTGATTCTGCCGGGCGGCATGGATTTCGTTGCGTTACGACCGCTCACCACCTTTTATTCTGCCGGCATAGCTTGATACTGCTATACAAATTCTATAATCTATTGCTGTGAACAATATAGAGAGAGGAAACTCCAGCTTTGCAGGACCATCATCGTGGGAAATGAGGATGGCGGAAACATTGCTCACACGTAGCTGAACGGAAATTTCACCTCTAAGTCTACCGCATCCTCAGCATCACCACCAATTCCGCAAACACTCTTCATCCTTGATCTCCTTCAGCAAATTGCATATATCTCAAAATGGCCTCTATCAATGCCGATGCCTCAGCAGCCATAGACCTAGTCAATAGCGCCACCGGAGCCCTACACAACAAAATGGAAAAGCAACGCGGTCACGAGATCACAAGCAAAACAATAAAAGCACCACCATTCTCCTACGCATGTCTAGAGCTGAAAACCGAAGCTTTACCATCCTCAACTGACTTGGATGAGGTTACCGTGCGCTCATACATAACATCGGCGCTTACCCAATTCCTCGGCATCACTGGATCAGCGATATCTGTCGATATTTTGAAGATTGAGGGGGCGGAATGCTGGGTCAGGGTGCCGCGCCAGGATCTTAGTCCTTTTATTGCTGCGGTGGGAGGATGGACTGGTCTTACTGAAGACGGCAATGTGGGATGGAGGATAAAAGCCAAGGGGAATTGGTTGAGCTCCCTTGTGACACAAACAGCGGTGGGGAAGGTTTGGTCTGATTGAGCGAAGATTTTTGGGAGAAATTATGGGTTTTTATAAAAGCATGCTTTGCGCTCTACAATGCTGTTGATGTTGCTGCTATAGTACAAGATCTCTGGCGTTATATACCTCGCTTTCTTGCCCAAAGACCCCAGACGCCGCCTTTTGTCATCATTGTGATCCCGCCCATCGCAAATGCAAGATCCTAACTGAAATATGCCAACCAAAATCTACGATGTTGCTGCCGCTAGGTCATCGACATTAGACTGTTCTGTGCGTAGGCCATTGGCTTGATATTGGGATGTGGCACTGCGTCGAATTTGTGGAAGTCGAGCTTGTAGTCAGGGCCGATATTTATATAGGCACCCTTGTTCTCGGTGCTATCGCAGTATCTAGGGGCGGAGAAAACTAGGCCAACATTAGCACCATGTGGGAGGAATGCGAGTTATTGAGCTTACCTGTGATGCACTTTCCAGCATGCTCTTCTTCGTAACCTTCCATCCGCACCTCGTGACTACGAATAATGGCATCCAGGCCGTTGTTATCGCAGAACCTCTTGGTGACATCTGGACCAAACTGCATACCGACACCTCTCTTACTTGGCCCGCGACCAGGCTCCGTCTGTGGATCCGTCCATAACATTTCCATCATCAACCCTGCTTGGCCTGGCTGGCGTTGATTGTGTCTATTAAGTTTCCGGATATCGTCTAATGTGACCTTGTCGTCCGAGAATAATCCGCCATGTAGGACGAGGTATTTCTGGCCTACGAGTGTGGCAAGTGGGAGTGCCGAAAAGCTTTCCGAGAATAGCTTGAAGACTCGCTCTGCTTAGTTGTTAATAGCGGTCGCTTGTAGAATTTCGGTATTGATGGGGAGACGGAATGGAGATAGGGGGCATACCATTGTATTTCGCTTTGCATTCGCCTTCAAACCCATATGCGCGGTTCATGTCATCAGTCTCATGATTCCCCCGGTTGATGAAGAAGGAAGCCGGACGTAGCCATTTATAAGCATATAGGAGAAGGGCGATTTCTGTAGACCAAGAACCTCTGTCCACAAAATCGCCGTTGAACAGGTACTGGTGCTTCTCTGTGGGGAACCCGTTAAGTCTAAAGAGCTCCATCAAGTCAAAGAATTGACCTAGACATATGTTAGAAAAATCACGGTACATCTTGCTTTGTGCCACTCACCATGTGTATCTCCGCAAACCGTTAGTTTCGTATCGTCCTTTACCTCCATCTCGACCATAGTTGCTTCTTCATAGACGATATTTTTGACCGCGATTACGATCTGGTAGACATATTTCTTATGTATTAACTTCCCATTTTTGAAGCGGTCCAACATATCATCGATAAACTCCTGCGTCATTTCGTTCCCTAAGGGCGCCCCATCGTAATTGCTATCAACAACCATCGAGTCAAGATCCAAGCCTTCGGCGGCTGAAGGCTCATCCCCAACTTCGATTGCCTTTTCGAAGGCATTCCGCTTGACAATCTTCTGGGCCTCGGCCAATTTGAGTTTCGCATCCTTGTCGCCCGGAGCCTTCTTCACAACTATTTGAAAATCCTTTATAGCTTCTCCCGGTTTTAGGATGGCCGCATGCGCAACACCTCGTCTATAATAAGCCTAGAAAACATCCATTAGCCTAGCTCACAAGATGGTCGGAGGCAAGACTATTTGGACCAATGTTGGCACTAATCGGTATAACACACCTTGATAAAGTTGGGATCCAGCTCAATGGCCTTTGTCGCATCTGCTATAGCATAACCATAAGCTTCTGATTTGATATTTGCCTGCACAAGTTAGTCACACGAGCACATGCAGGACGAAAGAATGTGAGACGTACCTGCGCCCTATTTGAAAAATAAGCTGGCACTTTGTTATCTAACTCAATCGCTTTGGTGTAGGATTCGATAGCTGCAGGCCAGTCGTGAGCTGCAAAGTGTTTATTGCCTTCATTCTTGAAGGCAACTGCTTGCTCTTCCGGGGAAGCCATGTCGGGAGGTCCTAGGTGCTTCCTGTGCGCGAGGCTGGCTGTAGAATCGGAGGCGGGAGCGCGGGGAAGGAGTGTGAATGCAACCTAAGTGGCAAAAGGAGGAAGTGAAAGTGAAACGAATTCGCAGAGATATTTCGGTACTCTAGCTATGCAGTTTGTAGTCTATCGGAAGGATTCTCTATCGTGAAGAAGAGACACCGGGATGGGAGCTAACGACTATTAGCGCCCAGCACCGAGGACGCTATCACCGACTCCGGAATCGGGCTCGTGCTAGCGAGGAAGGCCCTGGCAATCGCAATCGCAGGGAACGTCTATTGTCCATGGTTATGGTTTGAGTCTTGATATCCTTCCATCTACAACCACCTATAAGCCATACTTCGACCGCCACATAGGAATAAATAAGCACTTATTGGCGGTAGCAATTTCCATCCAAATGACAAAGCAGAGCCAGCTTGGAGCAGAACAAGACAAAACGCTCCTGATTTCAACTAGTATAGCACCACAACTGAATAAGATACGGGTTAATAAATGTAGCAAGTGATTTATAATTGTTGATTCTATCTCTAGTTAAATTTTGAAGCCTGAAACCCCACACGTTATTTCTAAGTCTAGTCGGGATATGACAGATGGCTAGCATCAAAGAATTGAGCACGGGCCAGGGACCCCAGCCGCACGACGATCTCGGGTCATATATTCCTCCAGCGAGGTTGCTAATTACAGCTCTCGAATGCACGGCAATTCGTCCCTTTTTTAACTTCAATTCAATCTCCCAAAATGATCAACATAAGGCCGCTCCGACAGACAGCCGCCTTCCTCCTCCTCCTCCTCCTTCTCCCTATCGCATCCTGCAAAGATAAAGATAAAGGTGAAGTCCTCCTCGACGAATACCGGTCCAACACGGGGCCCCTAACTACGACATTCACTGCCGACTCCACCTGCCTCTCCGAAATCCGCACCAAATACCCATGGCCAGGCGCCTATCCAGAACTCGAGGTCGGCTGCGAAGGTCCCGGTGGGAACGAGTGCTGTCCCGACCGCTGGGGCAAGAATCGCTATTATAGCCCCGGCGTGTGTCCGGCTGGATACATTGCATGTACGCTGCCGACGACGAGACAGCGCGACGAGACGACAAACCTATGCTGCCCTTCGTGTGTCAAACCCCCCAACCCAGTCTCCCTTTCCATATCACTAACCGTTGCAATACCATCACCCATAGGAACTTTGACTGCCCAACCCAAGTAAGCTACGACATCTGCAGAAGCTCCCTCAACACCTGGCGCACAGCCGAATACACGGACCGCAATGGAGCCACCTCCATAGCAAAATTTATGGCCGTCTCCGCCACGGCGATCCAGATCCGCTTCCGCCAGACTGACTCGTCCGTCGTGCCTATCCCCACCGACTCGCTAAAGCTACCGCCGCCAAAGACCGAAGCGGAGAAGAAGGCGGAGGCAGGACTGAGCTCGGGGGCAAGGGCCGGTATAGGTGTCGGTGTTAGCGTAGGCGTCATCGCGCTCTTGGTCGTTGTTGTGCTTTATATCCGGAGGGGGGCGGCGAGGAGGCGAGAGGAAAGCCGACAGCAGGGAGCGATGTTGTTGGGGACGGTGCCTGGTGAGCAGGACGAGGAAAGCGAGGCACCACCGCCATATTCGAAGAAGTAGAGGAGACTGTTTTTTAGGTCATTAAAGTATACTTTATTAAGGAGCTGGTAAGACTTCTTACCTCGAAAGATTGAGGGTTAAAAAGCCGCGGCTGACTCCTTCCTCGATATTTTATATCTATCTTTATAATAGTCAGTATGTATATATATCAAGGAAATAGGGTTAATACGGAAGTTAGGTGATCTCAATGGGTCGTAGTGGATGGAATAGCTAAAGTAATTGATAGTATTCTTGGTGGATGTGACAGATGGAGAAGTAAGCTCTCCGGACTAATTAACTGTATGCGCTCGGCTAATAGTTCTGCCGACGCTAATGCCAAGGTCACATGACAGTCATATGGCTCATTCTTGACAATATATATAAATATATATTTTCTATCTAAGTAGTTATAAAACTATAAAAGTCTTCTAGAAGAATATAAAATATATTAAACTAAGTTATTTGAAGTTACTATTATTTTATAATTTAATTAGTCTTTTTATAAAGTTTTTTAACTTTAAAAGAAATTAAAACTAAATTTTTAGAAAAATAATTTTCTTATTTATATTTAACTCTTTATTTAACTTATATTAGAAAGAAGAAGCTTAAAAAGCGAGTTATAATATAGTATTTCTGCGACTAGCTCGGGTACTTCAAGAAGGTAGCGGTGAATTTATACTCGAGGTTGGACCGAGGCAGCGCACACCCTGACTGGGTGAGTGGCGGGTGGGTGCTAAGGTGAAGGCCGGATCAGAGGCTGCACATTTCCGCTGTATTAGCACCCTATCACCACCGCTGACTGGGTCCAACCATAGGCTTCTCGGCTGCTGTTTCTTTGTCGATCCTTGCGTGTACTCCGAACTTCACCTGGTTTGGAGACACTGCCCACCGCGGATCGATACAGTACCGCACCGTTTACCGCCGCATAGCTGTCGATGCTCAGATTCTATTCTCCGCGGTAGCTATGGAGTCCAAGGCTCTCGCTCGTCGCGCGGCGGACACCGAGCTTATGCCGCCGCCTCCGCCTCAAAAGCGCATCAAGCGTCCCAAGAACGTCATTGACGAAGATTCATACACCGATGCAATTTCCGAAATCATAGCGCGCGACTTCTTTCCCGGGTTGCTGGAGACAGAGACCCAGCAGGAATATTTGGATGCGTTAGAGTCTCGGGATGGGGCATGGATAGCTAGTGCCGGTCGCCGGCTTCAGCAAGTTATGACTCCAGGCAGGAGAAAGGGAAGACGAGGAACCTCGATGCAGACGCCGCAACGGGCCTTCGATACGCCAAGCGGCTTTGGAGGAGATACACCTATGTCTGTGACATCTGAAATGACTTCGAAACCGGAACTAGCGGAGGTCGATACGAATATGAGCCTAGACAAGTTCCAATCGTTATACACCAGTGAGGATAATGAAAGCTTCTACAAGTTACTGGATAAACAGAACCAAAAACGGGCAGAAAAATATGCCTGGATGTGGTCGAGCAATAATAAGCTACCATCAAAGATGATGTTAAAGCAGAAGGAGGTCGAGGTGAAGCTATTAGAGTCACGAAACTCTTTACATGATGACGGGGGCGAAAGGAACAAGTTGGCTATCCGAGATGTGTCCGAGAAACCCGCGAGACCAGATGGCTGGAAATCCAAACCAAACAACACGCTTATGTTCCAGCCGGACAGCGTGGAGGATTCTATCGAGACTGTGGCCCAGAGATCCCAGCAAGAGTCGAGAGCAGCTCCAAAGCAAGTTGCGTACGCTAATACGCGGATGCCAGTAGCAGAAGTCTCTATAGAAGGCCCCAGTATTCCGGCCTCACCATCGTTGTCCGCTGTGAAAGATGCTATAGCTGGGCGCAAGCGCGCTGGCTATTCCGAATCTGGCTTTGACGGAAGCGAAACTCCTCGTGTTAATGGGTATGCGTTTGTGGACGATGATCCTGAGGATGATGCTCCTGTTCATGCCCCAATAATCACGTTTGGAAAAGGGGAGTCGATTAAGAATCCATTCGTGATTAAGGAACAAAGTCGAAGGGAGGATTTACATCACCGGATGGTGGATAAGACTGCCCAAACGAAGCGGGCGTCTATGAAAAATGGAATGACAGGCAAAGTCGATATGACCCCCGTCCCAAAATTCCCCAGCAGCCCAAGGGTTGGGCCAGGCCAGCTCACCCCGGCTGCACAGAGACTATGGAGCAAAGTTGGAAATACCCCCAGTGGGCAGGGTGATGCATTTGGAACCCAGACGCCCCGGACGGTAAAGCTGAAATCGGGGCTTAGAGCTCGATGGACGCCTTCTGCAAAGTAACCGTTATGTGTGGATGGCAGAGAGTTAAGAGTACCGGGAATTGTTTTGTAGGCATTATGGCATCACAGGCGTTAAAGAAGGAAAATACCCAGTTGAACGAAAGACCAGGAAATGGGACGGAATGTATAACTTTAGACAATACAAGCTCATTAGCATGCGTTAAGCGCCACTTTATATCATGGCACCACTTGATTACATTATTTCAATATGAACAAAAAGCTCCTCTTGGAAATATAACTACGCAATATATATTAATCCCACCCTGTTTGCGAAATGTGACTGCAGAAAACCGCTGTGCCTGAGCTCGGAAATACTACAGGGACTGCGTCATGCCGAGGAGCATGGGCCAAAAGCTTGGCCTATCTTTTTTTGACTCCAGACGCATCGAAATAACGGTACGATTTTACAACCCTATCGTAAAACACGATGGCTCTATAATCGATTGCGCCGACCAGCATATCATATTAATGCTATGTCTGGGAGAAGGTTGTTGGACCTGGCTGCTCTGTTCAATGCCTCCCGCGGCGTTGCGCAGAAGCACGCGGCGCTGAGAGCAAGACAGCTCGATGTGTACAACAGAACCTCGACTTTGGCTCGAGCCGTGCGGAACCAGACCGATCGGGTTACGGAGACTGCTAAAGCTGCGTCTTTTCTTGCGTCCCGTTTGAGCGAGGACAGGCCGGCATGGACATATGGTACGGAGGGGGAGAAACCGGCGAGTTCGTCGAAGGGTGCAGAAAAGTCTGGGGATGGAGAACCGATTCCAAGTAAGAACTCTACGAGTGGGACTCCGGAGAAAGGAGTGAAGGAGGGGTTGGAGCAGGATCATCATTATGAGAAGTCTCCAAGCAACACTGTTTTGGATAAGGAGTCGGAGGGCAAGTTGGGTATTAAACAGGCAAAGGCCGGGCAACATCCTCTTCCCGATGGCAGCATACCCCCCGAAGAGTTCAAGGAACACGCTCCGAGCATAGACCAAGCAACCTCGCGCCCAGTTGGAAGCCATCTTTCATCAAGAGCGGCGAGGATCGCTCAACGACAATCCGAATTCCAAATACCATCTAGGACCGCAGATGAGGCGGATGACTCCAATGCAACCCTGAAGAAGGAAGGCCATGATACAGATACATTCAACAAGCCGCCTACGCACACTTCCGCCACACTGTCCTCTCTCCCCAGAACCAAAATCCCAAAACACACTTCAGGTGTTCAGGAATTTGAGGAGTCGATAACCCCAGACGTATTCCACAATGTTGAGGGATCGAAATCAACGCCTGGGACAGAGCCCACTGCTTCTCAGGAAGAAGATTTGGAAGGTATTAATACTGCCCTTTTTCATAGTCCGAGGGTTGCAAGGACACTTGGGGGCAGAGTCCAAGCCGGAAGAAAGGTTGGGCTAGATGGGGAAAGTCCAACTCGAGGACATGCGAGTGTTTCGGCTGAAATGGAGGGGGCCAAGACGCGGACGGAGGATTTACCCAAAGCCAGCGTGGAAGACATCAAAGTGAGGCCTGATATACGGAATCGGATCGTTACTGATCACTGACGGTAACGCAGGTCGAACCAACTATGGAGCCCGAAATTCCTTATGAGCTCAGAGAATCAAAAATTCCTTCCTCGAGGATAGGTAGGCTGTGGAATTATGGCGGGCTAGCAGCGGGCATGTTTGGAGGAGCAATCACTGAGAGTTTCCGCCGCATAGGTGGAAGTGGAGGGGAGGGGTCATATATGCTCAGCCCAGATAACATGGAGCGACTCGTCGCTAAGTTATCCCGCATGAGAGGCGCGGCGCTCAAGTTAGGCCAAATGATCAGCTTTCAAGACTCTAAGCTACTACCCGAAGCCCTTCAGGAGGTACTGCAAAGAGTGCAAGATCGAGCGGACTACATGCCAGCTTCACAACGAAACAAAGTGTTGGCTGCTAATCTTGGACCGGAGTGGCGAGAGCTCTTCTCAAGCTTCGATGAGAAGCCCATCGCTGCTGCATCGATAGGCCAGGTTCACAGTGCCGTACTGAAGTCCAATGGAGCTCGGGTAGCTGTGAAAGTCCAATATCCAGGCGTTGCTGACTCAATCGACTCCGATCTTAATAACCTCGCCATCCTCCTTACCGCATCACGCCTTCTGCCCAAAGGCCTTTTCCTCGACAAGACTATTGCTAATGCAAGACTCGAATTAGGATGGGAGTGTGACTATATTCGAGAAGCGGAGTGTGGCCGCAAGTTTGAGGAATTGCTTTCAGGCGAGCAAGATGTTTTCGTTGTGCCAAAAGTTTACCTCGAGGCCTCCGGGAAGCAAGTTCTTACCATGGCATTCATGGATGGAATTGGAGTGACGAGAGTGAAGAGTTTCACACAGGAGCAGAGAGACTGGATAGGCACCCAGATCCTTCGTCTTTGTCTCCGCGAAATTACCGAGTTCAAGTACATGCAGACGGATCCCAACTGGACCAATTTTCTATACAACGACGATACGAAGAAGCTAGAGCTGCTTGATTTTGGGGCCTCGAGGGCGTACCCAGACGAATTCATCACAAAGTATTCGAACCTGCTGGCAGCAGCCTCCAGGGGTGATCGGGACACAGTGCGGAATTTGTCTATCGAGCTAGGTTATCTTACCGGCGCCGAGTCGAAGGCAATGGTCAACGCCCATATCAAATCTGTGCTTATATTAGCGGAACCGTTCTTAGACACGTCGCCCGAAGTATATGACTTCAAGGGGCAAACCATCACGGAAAGAGTCAAAGACTTAATTCCTGTGATGATTCGCGAGAGATTGGCTCCGCCGCCGGAAGAAACGTATAGTCTGCATAGGAAGCTCAGTGGAGCATTTTTGCTGTGTGCAAAACTTGGGAGCCGTGTACCATGTAGAGAGATGTTCCAAACTAGCATGAAGAAGGCGGGTATCATATAATCACTGCAACGCACATTGCCAATGTACAGTATAGCATAACCTGTAATAATAAACATATCACAACTCGAAAAATCGTTGATCCATTGATGCTCGTTCTCCCTATTCCTGAGTTCTCCTCGCAAACGGCATATTCTTCTTCTCCTTCCCTTCAACCTTCTTCCTCCGTCTCTCAATAACCCTATCCAACTGCTTCCCCTTCAGTCCGCCAAACTGCTCCACCAAAGCCCTCTTCTTCTGCTCCGACTCTTTCAGATAGAAAGGTTTCTTTCCCATCCTCACAGCTTCCTTCTCCTCCTTCCTATGCTTATCCAGAACCTCCTTCGCCTTATCCTTCCTCAACTGGGCCTTCTTCCTGGATTCCATCGACAGCAAAACGCGTTTTAATTCCTCCTTTTTATCTTCATCCTTGGAGTTCTTGATCGCAGTCTTCAACTCCTTCATCTCATCCTCCCTGTAATCATCTAAAAATGAATACGCCTTCCTTATTTTATCATCATCGACCATGCCAGATATTGTGTCAAATCTAGGGTCTCGGAATTCGCGCTTTGGGACAGGTACGACATCCCGTTTCCGCGATACGGCTTTCTTGCTGGAGATTTCGGTGGGGGCATGTTTACTCGAACGGTTGAAATCCCTACGGTCTTTTCTCCCCTCTTTTCGTTCCTGAGCCTCATTGTCTCCCCATTTCTGAACGGTGTCGTCTTCTGCGCTGCGCTTTGTGCGCTTTCCTGAACCGGATAAGGTTGCTTCTGCCTTTGCTAAGGCGCCGAATGATATTGAGGCAGCGTTTTCGGGGGTGGGTTCTTCTTCGTCTGAGCTACTTGACTGCGCGCTTTGTTAGAGAATATTTTATTATGGTAACATTCTATGAGAGAAACAAACCTCATTATCGTCTTCCTGGTCACTCGCTTCTGTGCCATTCTCTTCGCCCTCGTTATCGGAACCTGATAACTCCAATTGCGGAGATTCTTCTAATTCTTCACTTGATTCCCGCCTAGCTCTGACACGTCTCTGTAAGACAGTATCTAAAGCTTTTCGTTTTATGGAAGACATTTTGATGTGTTGTGTTGGAGGGGAAAGTTTAATGTTGTATAATACAACCCGGCAATGAAAGTTTACCTGAAATCCCTGACCAAAGCGGAAGGCGGTGAGCGCAAAAACGCCGTGGGGAAATTTTGAGGTCGCAGCCTCGCCTTCGGAGTGTCGAGTCGGTAGCCTACACTTTATTTACGAGGGTCCGAGATCTACGCGTCCAACTCGACAGTGAATCCCTTGATGTTTCTGTGCATTTCACGCCCGTCTGCGATCTGTCTGCATCATGGCATAAAAGCTGGGCGGTCTTTAACTCATTCTGTCACGAAAACTATGAGCACCGCCGCCACCGCGCCTGCACAAGACAAGGCTCAACCTCAACCTCAACCTCAACCTTTGCCTCGATCTCGACCTCAACCTCAACCCCTCAAGTCTGTATCGGACACATATTCAAATCCCCAGCCCCAGTCGCGGAGGAAGGAATCAAAACCGATCCCGGAGGATCTCGACAGCCTCACCGAATCTCTCAAGAAGGTCTCCATTTCCAACGAGCGGCGGCGACCAACCCGCAAGTCCGCCGGTCAACACACACCCGCACAGCCCTGGGAACGGAAGCAAAAGAAAATGAGCAGCGGATCAAGACAACAGAAGGTTGACCCTTCCAAAGAATCAGGAGGAATCCCCGATCCGACCCCAGCCTACCTACAAAGGGCGCATACTGGCATTGAAGCCCTACAAGTCCCAAAGCACCTCCTCGTAGTAATCGACCTCAATGGAACAATCCTCTACCGACCCAACAAATCCCAACCCACCAGATTCGTCGCCCGCCCTCACGCAGTACGCTTCCTCGAATACTGCATCGAGACCTTCCATGTGGTGATCTGGTCCTCCGCGCGCCCAGAGAACGTACAATGCCTCGTCGACGCGATTATACCCCCACAACTAAAGCAGAAAGTCCTAGCCGTCTGGGCACGCGATAAGTTCGATTTAACGCACAAAGACTACAATCTTCGAGTGCAATGCTACAAAAGACTCTCGAAGATCTGGGCAGATCCTCATATATCAAGTACGCATCCAGATTTTGCGATGGGCGCAAGATGGGATCAGACGAATACGGTGTTGGTGGATGATTCGCTAGAGAAGGGACGCAGTGAGCCGTTTAATCTTATTGAAATCCCGGAATTCTTTGGGGATTTGAATGAGCGGGGGAATATATTGCCACAGGTGCATGATTACTTGAATTACTTGAGTATGCACTCGAACGTTAGCGCGTGCTTGCAGGCAGCTGGGTGCGGATTCCATGGAGCACCCGAAAGGGAGAAGTCCGGCTTTGGCCACGACGGCCGCCGGTGATATATTACTCATAATGTTTACTAACACCTCAAGGTTTTATTGGGTGTTAGTATAGAGGGTTTGCATAGCATCGTTGCATTTTACGAATTTCCTACGTTTGACATACCCAGCCATTTGCAAGACTGATCGTTAGGGTCGGTTGGGTTACAGGCAGATAGAAAGGGATCGTCATATGGTGCATATTGTATTTCATTACAATAAGCTAGCTGTATAACAGCTCCTAGGCGATTATAGCCTCCTTCCATAGTTCATGATCATTACACGTCACTTGCCCTGGCGCTAAACCCATCCATCCGAAGAAAGAAAATATCTCCAAGGTCCATTGCTCACTTGAAGACTTGGCTATCAGCGCACTCGTACTCCTTGCCATTGACAGTGATTGGCTTCTCGCAAGTCCACTGGGCCTCAACGAACTCACGGTCCTCTGGCTTAGCAGCGTCGAGCTTGGTGAACTCGTAGCTCTCAAAGTCAGGGGCGACGTCGAAAGCTGCAGCCGCATCCTGGCCGCGGATGACGAAGCAACCTTGGATGACAGAGTCATTGAGCTTACCGTAGACTGAAGCAGCGCCGAAGATGTACTTGCGGGAGCCTTCAAGACGAGCGAAGAACCCACCAACGAGGTTAGCGCTCATGAAGACCATGGTAAGCTCATCGTTATACTTATAGTCGATCTTCCACAGGGAATACTCGTCAGCCTTGTAGTTCTCCCAGAACCATGCAAGGGCCTCTGGGGCCTCGTGGTTGGAGTATTGGCGCTTCCACTCATCGAGAACCAAAGTTGGCTTTGGCAGTGCCTCGAGAGGGTGCTTAGCTTTTGGGGCAGCTGGGGCATCCTCTTCCTCCTCCTCGGCGGGCTTTGGCTTGGGGGCAGCCTTTGGTGCAGCCTCCTTCTTTGCCTGCTCTGGCTTCTTGGGGGCAACGTTCTTGATAGCAGTCTCGATGAGAGAAAGCTCACCGGCAACGTTAGAGTAGATGGGCTGGTTGTAGACAGTCTCATACCAACGAGTGACGTTGGGGTTCTTAGCGCGCCATTCCTTGTCGAAGAAGAACTGGAAGCCACGGGAGATGATGCCAGCAGCGAAGAGGTCAGCAAGAGTGACCCGCTCGCCAGCCAGGTAGGTGTTGTGAAGCAAGTGCGCCTCAAGAACATCGATAGCCTTCTGGGTAGCGGCGGCGGAGTCTTCGACAGCCTTCCTGTTGTATGGGCTACGGCCGATGAGAGGACGGAACCAGCCACCGAGAGGTGGGAGGACTTCAGAGTTGAAGAATGACATCCACTTAAGGATGGTGGCATAGCTGTCTTGATGTTAGCATATATATAGGAATGGGTAGTGGTGGTACATACTCTTGCTTGGTCTTGCCTAAGAGGGTGGTCTTCTCATTCTGGGAAGTGACTGGAGGAAGGTTAGCACTCCATTCCAAGCTAAAGATCATAGATAGCAAAAAGTAATCATGAAAATATGCTCAGAGTCTAATTAATATTAAAAATCAACACGGGTGATTAAGACAGGGATAACTGTATGACTTTTTTTTCATCATAGCAAAAGGACACGCGCAAGGGCTGGCCCCACTCTGGAGGCGGCCACAAAACTGAGAATTTCCAACTTACTGTAGATGGCGATGGCAATCGACTCGGAGAGAGTGTAGCCATCAGCACCGACGAAGGTAGGGACCTTTGCAAGGCTGTTGATCTTGAGGTACTCGGGAGAGAGGCCCTTGGCGGGCTCAGTCTCGACAACCTCAAGCTCGACATTGTTTGCCTTCGCAACAGCGAGGATGGCAGTGGAGCGGGGGTTACCCTGGAGGTGAATTGTCAGCTTCAGCTACTCCTTACGCTGAGGAATTGGAGTTCAAGATCGAGAATACATACCGGGTAGGTGTACAGCTTTCCGAAAGGTGCCATGGTTGCGAAGTTCTCTGTTGTGAAGTTACAAAGGACGAACAATGTGGCAGGAAGAAGAGTCAGAAGTTCCTCTCGAAGTTTTTGTGCTCGCGGGGCTCGGCGCCAGACCACATCGGTCCTAGCGCAATTACACTATCACGTGATGATGCCAGAAAAATGACAAGGCTCCGTGGACATTGACCGACTGAGATTCTGGACGTCAACTCAAGAAGCTCAGCTGCAATACACATACACCCGCCCCCGGGTCGCCATATCTTCAAGATGAAGGTTTCATGGCTTCCCAATACTCTCAGGGAGACACTGCAATGTGCATATTCTCCCCGGCCAATCGCATTGAGTCGACGACGAGTCCTCCATGTGCGACCCAGACCCCGACAATTTACTACAGCTTCCCAACTTCAAAATAGCATAGCTGCCCCTAAAATCAAGTTCCCTAACAGGATGGAAGAGGGCAAAGAGCAATTCTATGGCCGAGTCGTTCCAGCTTCGCCGTCCTATTTCTCCGCACAACCACTCTTCAGCGACAACCTATTAGCCTTAGAGGCTCTCCTTCGAAAATACTCCACGCTGCCAACGGTAGCACCCGGCCAGCAACCTCGAGTAGCATGGCGATCGCTTTCGGAATATCGAGACACGATCGGCGAGGTTGTCAAGGCGTCCAAATACCACAAGATCGTCGCAATCCTCTCGCGTCTCAACCATATCCATCCTTCTCTCATGCCCACCGAGGTGGAAGACGCGCTCAACCTCTACAAGAGGGATATCAATCCATACGAGAACGTGAAGAAAGTTACACCTATAGATAAGCGCGGAAGGGCTTTGGGTGTTGGACGGAGAAAGGCCTCGTCGGCAAGAGCTTGGCTGGTGGAAGGGACTGGTGAGGTCCTGGTCAATGGAAAGTCACTGGTCGAGGCCTTTGGCCGCGTGCATGATCGGGAGAGCGCTATCTGGGCCTTGAAGGCTACGAATAGGGTGGACAAGTACAACGTCTGGGCCTTGGCCACAGGTGGTGGAACTACGGGACAGGCAGAGGCTTTGACATTGGCGGTAGGAAAAGCTTTATTGGCTCACGAGCCGGATTTGAAGCCAGCGTTAAGACGAGGTATGTCGAAAACTCTCTTACTGCTTTTACCTGTTTGTCAAAATTCCGTGTCCCATGTGCAGATTACTGACTTCTATCATAGCCGGATGCGTAACTCGCGATCCCAGAAGAGTGGAGAGAAAGAAGCCTGGAAAGGTCGGGGCGAGAAAGATGCCGGCCTGGGTCAAGAGATAGACGTTTTATGTATATGTATCATACTGTACGAAAGCATTTGGTTTTATTGGAAATGGGAACCTACCTGCCCCAGATTATATGATCTTAGACCCTGTTTCTTCGGTGGCTAAGTTTTCAAAGATCGTGATGGTAACTGGCGTATGTGGATTCCTGGGAATAGAGTTATCTACTAAAGGTAATAACATCCCATCATTCAACCCCAAATATCCCAATAGGGTGCCTTGAGATAGTTCCTCGGATCCCCCACTCGTTACCTTCCAAACCGTTACCCCTCCGACCCCTACCAGTTTCAGTTTTCCCGCGATGAGAAGCATAGAGCTTTAACTACAAACAATCGTCCAGGCATCAATTAACGATTCCAAACATTACCCCAAACCACGGCGCTTGCCAGTGCCAATCTAGGAGCCCGGATCATATTTGATGCAAGACAAGCATCAATATTCTCTTACCTTGTGCACTTTCTCAACTCACCACCGCACACGCCTTTCCCTCTCACCGAGTGCATATCATCACTTATTCGCCACATCTACCAGCGAGTTACCTAACAACCACAACCACAAGCCCTCTCACACTCACCTCTCTCGAAAACAAGCTCAAACCTACCTTTACCTACATACACACAAGCATCGCACCACCCTCACCTCCCTTCCATCCTTTGTTCCCCTTCCACTTCCTCACCCCATCCCAACCCCCCTGCCCGTCCCAAAACCCCATTCCTTGGGCCCCAAACCCCCCAGCTCCAGCTCCAGCCCACAAGCCTCACCACCAACCAGCACCGCATACACACATTCCTCATGCAGCCACACTGTCGACCCCCCCATCGCAAGCACCCGCCAATCGCGCAGCCAGCGCCCCAAGTCCCCGGTACCCGGGGGGGCATGCATAAAGCAACCTCATCGCAACTTTACGGAGATATTTCTACTTATCTCCATACAGTAAGGTAAAGTAAAAACTAAACTAAAAGGAAAGTAAAGATGCAGGACGACCCCCGAGCATTGATGGGCTTTGCATGGGTTTGGTTGGTTTGGTTGGTTGACGTCGGGCTTTTGGGGAATTTGATATGTCGATTTCCGTCGGCTATGCACGTTGGTTTTGCTTTTGGGGATCTTAGGGGCTTACTTTTGACAACGTGGTGGTGTGGTCGGAGAATTTGGAATTTGGAACGCAGTGGTTGGAAATATGGCTGGCTTTTAGCGGGTTGGGGTATTTTTGATTGATAATGTAGGTAGGTAGGTACCTAGTTAGGACGAGAGTAGGGGAAGAAGCATATTTTGTTGATTTGTTACTGTTAAAGACATGATGGAGAATATATGTATGTATGTATACTCTACTGCTAGCTAATATAGGCTGCTAGTGGTAAGGTAGTTAAGTATAGTAGCTGGTAGTGCTTAAATAACCCTGCATCCTTGAATAGCTCTTCTTCATCCTCAGGGGTAGAATCAGCATCCCAAGACATAGAGCTATATATGTGATAAATCCTGGTACTTATCAGGCGATTAAAAATTCCTCCAGCCATCCATCAGCCACCATAGCCGCACCTATACAACCGCCACCTCCCCCTAACATCCCGTGCATCGGCTTAATATACAGGGATATTTCGGCCCCCTTTAAGGAAATTCTTCCCAATGTGCCCGACCAAGCGTGCCGAAACCCCCAAAAATTTGCTCGTGAAAGCCCCTATTTATCTGTAATATTGCCCCCAAACCCCGAGATATCGCCCGCGCCAACCCATCCCACCCATATCCTAACATGCCATGCCGCGAGTTACAACAACCAATGTCAATCCATCAACACCGGCAAATCACACAAACAACCGCCGCAATTCCCCGATGTAGAACATGTTCTGCCAGAGAAATACAAAGCGCTAAGTCGAGAACAGTTCATGACGTCGAAAGCGTGATTGTGTAGACGTATGAGAGGGAAACTTTAGACAAAAGAACAAGAACACATTTCAAGGAGGGGCTGCTCGATTTTGCACAGAGCCTGATGCTCCTCCGCCTTCGAGCGATTCTTGCAGGTCAAGACATTCCGTAAGAACTACACAAATCAAATTAGCTAAGGGGCGGCTGGTCTCGTCATTGCTACGAAACTTACTCGCAATAATCTGCTCCTCCGCAATACCATACTGGTAATCAACAAGACCATACTTCTCGATAGCGTCGCACATCCGTATTAAATCTTTCGCCATCTTGTTGATGAGATCTCGAGGCATCAATTCCTGGGAAGGTTGTAATTGTAGTCCAAGCAGGTCTTTCTGCTTTTGGAAGATGCTGAGCCAGGCGGTATTGAACTCCCCCCACAAGCGTATCCGATCACCGTGTTTTGGAGGATCGTCTACAGTAAGGCCTTGATGGGAGCCGTCAGCGGAGGTAACCGCATCGAGGGTTTGGCGCATACCTAATTGCCCAATTTCCCTCACTAACCACTCCGAGACTTCTAGCAGCGAGCGTCCACCGATGGCGAGACGGCCGTCTATAATGTTTTGGAAGACCTCCTTCAAGGCAGTTTGATACGTAGCGTAAGCCACCTCCATGCTAGAGCTTTGCGGTTGGAACCCCTCTTCCTGGAGAACATCTGGCGCGGCTTGAGACATTCCCTCCATTGTCATCGAGCCAGCATACCCTTGTTGGAGCATATGAGAGCGATTCCCCGGGCTTTGTCGATGCGGTGGATAAGCCGCTGAGGCATCTGACGATGCATGGTGTTGCAGACCACCTGGAGGGCCAGGCGCACTAGTTGACTCGTTCGGGAAATAAGGTGCTGCAACGTCCGACAGCATCTGCATCGGCGCCGGTTGCCGCCCCTGAAACTGATGAGATTCGTAGACGGCACCTTGTGGTGCTGGCTGTGCGACATTGTACATAAGGTCCGGATTATAAGTGGTAAAGCCCTGCTGCTGTCTTTGGTCTTGTGGATAACCCGGGGGATACTGCAAGGTACTGGCTGGCAACGCAGCTCCGAACCCAGGTTGGGGCTCTTGGTAATATCCTCCTGAATATGTCGCCGGTCCGCCAGGTCCTCGGCTTGCTGATGGAGCTGCTGTTGAAGATCCAGACTGATGCCCGTCGCCGGGTGGATTGGGAAAGCGTCTATCTTGGCCCTGGCCCGCATTAAATCGAAGATCCGATCCTATAGATGGCGGTTCATCCAGCCTCCTCCGCCTGCTGTTCTCATCCATCCCCGCCTTCTCAACGGGTGCAGACGAGCCTCCCGCCAACTCAAGACGATGCGCCGCTGATAAAGGGACCGGCGTCGGGCGTAGAAGTGCCAGCTTGCCTCGTTTCCGTACCTTTTTGGCGTCCTACGAGCACACTCTCCCTGGGAGCTGAAAGCGTCAAACAGTTTCCCTGTTAGGTCGGGTCAAGGCCCAGCGTTGCAGGAGGGCTCTTGTGGAGACCTGTCAGCGTCGCACCCGGATACAATGGGAAATGCGCATACCTTGAATGGAGCAGGAAATCCTGTAGGAGAGTTATAGGCGCCAAAATATGCAGGTGGGACTCCAAAAGGAAATAAGGCGATTGTCTGCAACGAAACACAGCAACCCCGAAGAGGCTCAACACACAGTAAGCAAGAGCAAAGCTACGGTTGAACAACACCCAGAGGCCAACTTCGGAAGTGGTATAACTTGGTAAAATGTGCTGTGAATGGGCCAACAAGGCGCGTATCGGGACACTGGACTGTCGAGCTTTGGCACCAATGCTGCGTCTAGCCTTGTTATTGCCTTTCGGCTGCGACAAGCCAGGTAGTTGCCGGGAGAATACGTGCAGGACAAGTGACGTTACTGATAGCCTCGTCCGCTCCTTCTTATGAAAGGGGGGGGATTTCGAGGAGTGGCGTCGTACTCCAACGCTGCTGTCGGGGTAGGTTCCCAACAACACTCTTTAATCTCTTCCAAAAGAACCTTAGATAGACCGATGCACCGGGCTTCCAATTCAAAGAGAGTACCTCCTCCTCCACAGATGATAGAAACAGGACGAAGCTGAAGGAAAGCGCTTGATAGGCGATTCTCCGAGATATCAAACAAATGTCAATTTGCTGAGCCTCCTGGAGGTGCTGAGATGTCGACTAGCTGGGCGCAATTGTACAAGACAGGACAGATCGACCGGAAAGCTGGGCTCAGCAGGGTAATGATCTATTTTCTGCGTTACACAGCCTTTCAGAGATTGACGCCGAATCGGGGTTGGGGAGAACCGACAGGACCGCGGGGCCCTTTGCTGAACTGGGCGGCTCGAGGCAAAGATCGCGAGAGGCTGCAGAATCGACTACTTCGCCGGCTCTGAAATATGGCCACAGATATGCCCGGTCACGATTAAGGGGCGATTCGATTGGTGCTGCAACTCAATGGCCGGTGAGGCTGGTTCGTGGAGCGAAGTCTGAGGGAGTGTAGGGACGGAGGGAGCAGGGCAACAAGAACTGGGTAGTATGACGCTGGGAATGTCCGGATGTGCACACTGCACTACTACAACTTTAACTTTTTCTCCCTTGGGAAAGTCTAATATTGAAGGTAGTTGGTGCCCAAGTTGTGCGATCCACTCAACACGTGCGAAACGGTACGGAAGATGTCGTAGGCGCAACACACTACTCTGTACCGCTCGTCGCTCCTGCCGGGGGCGGGATCGCTAAGTAGGGCTGTTCGTCAGTACTCGAGGCCTCCGTTTCATCTTCCTCGAGGGGGGGAAAGGGGGGGGAGGCCTGGGCTGCAGCTAGTCTGTTGGAATACGGCCAGAGCCCCTCGGAAATATCGCAAAGGAACTATCTCTAATGATCTCCTCGGGCGTTTCAGCTCTCCAGCATCCGGTTGAGGACGAAGAGTTGGCGGCCCTCTACAGTTGGTTGCGAATCAAGCCTTGGGGGGGTGGTGGAGAGGCGGTGGCGGCGGAGCGATTGACTCTGCAAGTGATGCTCTAGTCAGTAGCGGTGGCCAGCAAAATAATGGCAGTTCGCTTGCCAAGCTGGGGGAGGAATAAGTCTGGAAGCAACGACAATGGCGCTGGGTGCAAGGAGACCAGGGATGGCAAGGCGACTTGGGAGAGAGGTTTAGAAATGGAGAACATGGATAGACTGCTCGGAGTTTTTGGGCTGAGGGGCACATAATAAATGGCGACCACGAGAGGAGACAGAGACATAGACGCAAGACACCGACACAGACGCGATGCAAACGCAGCCTGGCTGGCCGGGGTGAGTTCAGGGTTGGAGATGGGGCTTTCGGGGGCTTGGAGGGCTTGCGCGCTAGAATGGAGTGATCGCCGGCGAGATAAGGCGCTGCAGAGAGTGAGTCGCAGTGTTTGGCGTGCCCAGGACTCGGGACAGAGGCGTAGGCATAGGTGCGATCGAGGAGACAATCGAGTGGAATGCGATATGTGACGATGAGGACCGATCCCCCGGGGCTACTGGCATTGCTTCTTCTCGTCCGGACCCTTCGCTCAGCTGTGTCTCCTCTGCTCTCAGCTCGACGGCGCCGGATCGCGGCCTTTCTACAGCAGTGTCTGGAGGATGAATGCAAACAAGAGGGCATCCGCGGGCTCGCATTGGCCCGGCGGCGGGTGGGTAGGAGAGCGGACTATTGAGACTTTGGGCCTGTGGTTCAGATCCGAACGGAGCCGGTGGACGGGGTGGCTTTCGGCTGTTTTCAGCAAACTGGCGCCCATCAAGGAGGATGATCCGGCGAGGGCAGCTGAAGCGCACGACGTCCAAGTCAGCGCGAGCAATGGACGAGTGGACGAAGCCGCCAGTCGTGCAGTCGACGAGTGGCGGGGAGTACAGGCCACGGCAGGCAGGGCGAGGTACCGGTACATGGGCGGCGTGTACCTGCGTCGGCGCAGGTACCTGGGCGTGTCTGACTGGCCCAGACGACCCCGCCGCGACGCAAAGTACCTGTACATCGGTCGTACTTGCGCTGGAAGTACCGCGTCCGATCAAATAAATTTCCGAGGGGGGGGGGAGATCTGGCTGCACGCTGGTCACAGGCGCGAGCAGATCGACGATGATCTCATCCCTCAGATGCGTCCGCGTCTGTGTCGGCAGCCTCGCCGGCGTGCGAAACGCAGGTCGCTTGCAGGGCAAATCGGTGCCGTGGAGGCCGGAGCATCATATCATGGTCGAAACCCATCGCCCAGGCTGCCGGGTCTCGTTGCTTTTGGCTTCTTCGGCGGCCACCCTCACCCTCACCCTCACCCTCGTGCGCCAGGGGACTCGAGCCCGGAGTACGAGTCGTCTTGGTCTCGCGCGAGTCCAGGCGATCGCCGTTTGCAGCGGGTTGGCGTGGTGGCCATGGGATATCTGCAGGACAGCTTCGTCTGCATTTGGAAGCTTTTCCTCGGGTCCTGCCCACGGTGGCCTGGGCTGCTCCTCTCGTCATCGTCCATCCTATCGTCGCCTTCATTCAGCCCCTTCATCCCATCACCCTCCTCCCTCCCTCCCTCCCTGGATAGGTGGGAGCGGGAAGACTTGGACTTCGCAGTCGCCACCACCTCCAGGACAAGCACCAGCACCAGCGCCGCAACACCGAGGCCCCACGGCCCATCCGGCGATGGTGTTGCTGGCTGCCACTGCTGCCAGTATGCCCCGTTGCCCAGTGGCCCAGTTGCTGGTCCCTCCTCAAGCGACGACCAGGCCAAGGCCCAGCCGCGAAGGCCACCCGGGCAGCTTCCAGGCCGCATTCGGACGGGGATTCGCAACGGACGATTGGGAGGCCCGGGTTGTGGGTAACGAAGCAGGACGAGGAAGAACCTGGGAGAGCGTGCGATTGTCGAGGCCTGTTCCATGTATCGACGAGGTCGAGGTTTGCGCAGAGGCGGCGGTGCGGTGGTCGTCAGATGAAGCTCGGGCTGGGATGCGGTCTTCCCTGCAGCTGCACGACGCAGGCGTCCAGGGCCTGCGCGGGGCCTGGACAGGGCGCGCCCAGGCCTGCTCAGGCCTGCCTCGGGGGGTGGTCTCAGGGCTCTTCAGGGCTGCTCGGGGCTGCTCCAGCGTCCCCCAGTGGCCCCCAAGCGGCTCGCGGAGGGGGCGGGCCATGCGCTGTAGCACTGGCAGGACCCCCTAAAGGCCACTCACGCACCACCAGTACGCTACTGTAGGTACTGTACCTCTGCTGTATGTACATGTATGTAGGGACTGTGGCAACTGCGAGCATGTAGGTAGGGTACTGTATTGTGCATACTTTACCGCTGCGATGCCACTGTAGCACAGTACTATTCCTACACCACTGCTCCCCCCAGGGCGTCTCCTCCAGCGTCTCCCTCCGCCACTCATCGCCCCTTCATCCTT